GGGGCTGAGATGCGCGGGGTGGTGTGCCCGAGGCCGTCGAGCCGGTGCCCATCGAGTTGGTGCAGTGCAAAACCGTGTCGTGGTTGGGATGGGTGCCCATCCCAAATGCAATGCATGAACCAGAATGGCTTGAGAGGTAGAGAGAAAGGGGGGGGGCATGAAATGCTCCGTAAATCTGCCTACAAAACATAAGCATAAACCAAGGAAATAGAGCTGTTTTCACGCCTAGTCGTGAAGGGAGCGGGTGGGGTAGGATAGACTGAGCGGGCATTATAGCAGTTGTGACAGTGTTGTCAAGTGGTCATGATAGACGATAAATGTGTGTGTGTGATCCTGGACGGGCATGACTACGGCATGTCAAGACCCACGCCCGCACACCGCCCATTTGACCTGTCAAACCAAGTTATTTGTATGTCACTCGCCCTCAACGCCGCAAGCCCCTATGCACCGAGAAAAGGGTTCCATTGAACTAATGGTAATTCCCTCATTCCAACGGAAATTTCCGTACATATAACATGATAAATGTTTTTCGTTATTTGATGGAGCTTTCTTCGTATTAAAGAATGATTCTTTGCTCTATGAGCATTTTCCCCTTGAAGCTTGGAAAATCATTTGTATCCGGTATTTCAGTAAAACATCAGAAAACGAATTCAACGGAACCGTTTTCTCGGTGTGAGAAAATAAGTTTCATGCAGTTACTAAAAACAGGCACACTGAGTTGCGGTCGGGCGTGTTAAGGTGTTACCGTACTGGAACGGAAGTTAGTTAGTATTAAACATCCCTGCCATGGAGATCTCTGGAAATCTCTCAAAAAAGTGGGCGTTAGTGAACCACCTGCCGATGAAAGTGCTACCCTGCCAGCTGACCGCAAGCTGACCGCCTGAAAGAGAAGAATCCAACAACACAGAGTCTTGGGTTGTAGTTCCACGGTGCCCAGGTGGAACACATATGTGACGAAATGAGGTCGAAAAGACGATGGAACAAGCATTATGAGGCGGTGACAGGTTTTACTCAACATGACGTCATGCCAAACACATCAATAACATAATTTTCAATGTCATCAACCTCGGGTTTGTGATGAAGGGAACGCGCCGACCCCTGGACGGGCAACCGCACGCCATACGCACATACGCGCAAACACACTAGGTTCATTAAAAATAAAAATAAAAAAACAAAACAAACTAAGGTGACATTTGTCAAGTTGCTTGGTGCACTCTCGTCTTCAGGGCAGAATGAGCTCGTAATGAACTCTGCCTGTCGTTACTCTAGAAGCCCAAGTGTGTACATGTATGCGTTATCTTGTGAATACCTACAAGTATTCAGCAGGTTCTGTTTACACGTTTATGTGTGCAGGAGGTAGTGCACATGGGCATGTATACACACGCTTAGAGTCCTAAGCTGATGTGAGAGCTATGTGCTTAAGTGTGTACTTGGACATGTGCACACTATCTCCTGCATACATGATCATGCACCCACTATCTGCTACACACATGATGGTGTTAAGGAGATAAAGCATACATGTACACACTTGGGTTTCCAGGGTCATGGCCGTACCCCCATGGACCGAGTGCACCACCAAAACGTTTTCTCGACGGGGTTGCACCAAAGAAACTTGACACACGGCACAGTAGATTTTTGATAGTTTTACGTTTTTTGTGCGAGTCATGGGTCAGGTCGGAGCGATACGAGAACGTGCGTGGGAGTAAGTATGAAGCGCGAACGTTAACGAAGTGTCAACAAAGTCCTACCTACGGCATTGTTGCACCTTCACAACCACAGCACTGCGCGTGCGCGCAGCCGAGTACTACTGTCACTGCCTCGGGGCCATATCCCACACAACGTCAAAAGAGAGCCTGTCCACGCTTTTGCGTCCGTCTCTTTCTTAAACTCGCATGGGGGCGCTTGGGGAGCGGGTGTATTGGACGCATTCCCGGCGCATTGCAGCCGGCGGGTGTGTAACAGAGGGGTTAGGGGAGGGGGAGCCCACTCGGTTGCACACCGCGCCGCCGGCACCACTGCAGCATCATGCTCACCGGTAGCTGGCGGGGCCCTGTGCTGCTGCTGCTGCTGCTGCTGCTGCTGCTGCTGCTGCTGCACCGGCGAGAGGTGTTGTCGGCGCTCCGGCCCCGGCGGGCGCGCGGCCGGCAGCAGGGGGGCGTCGCGGAGGGACGCGCGCGGCCGGCGGCGACGGGCGGCGGCGCTGTGTGCTGAGCTTCGCACGGCCCAAAGAGGGGCACGGTCTGCTTGTCGTCGGCCGGGCTCACACACACACACACTCACACAACACACTCTGGGAGCACGTGCGCGCCTCTAGGCCTGCCTGGGCCGCCTCCTCACACTCCGGCCTCGCAACTCTAACTGCCCTCCTCTCCTCAGCGCCTCCACCCCCTCCACCTGCTCCCCCACCCCCAACCCCCTCCACACCACCACCACCCCCAAACCCGAGGCGCGCGGGAGGCGCGCGGCCGGGCCTCCCCTCCCCTCCTCCCCCCTCGCCCGGGCGGGGAGGCCAACCCTGCCCACGGGTGCCCCCCACCCCACTCCCTCCACTCACCGCCCAACAACCCGTCGACCCCTGCCCCTACCTCACCTCCTTCCCGGACCCTGGTATTGAGTCCCCCACCCCCCCGTCCAACCCCCCTATCTTTCTGAAAATTTCCCTTACTGTGCCCATATTAGATTTTACCCCAGGGAGGGAGAGAGAGAGCAAACGCCAAAATCATATTGCCCCGTTCGCATCACCTACTATGTGTGCAAATATGGAGATTTGAAATATTAAACATACTTCAGTTATCACAATGTGCCTGCGATGTTTGGGCATGGAAGCACCGGGTGCGCGCTCTGGAGTCGGAGGATTGCGGGTTTACCTCTTTCCCCAGGGGGTAGAAACGGGTAGAAACGCACCAGGCTGAGCCCCAGAAGAGGCGCGGTACTGGCGTTGAGAGAAGCTTATATGCGAAGAAAATATACAATTTCCGTGAAAAACATCTGGCAAAAAGGTTATGCAAATTAGTACTCAAAGTGGGCTTTTTACTTGGCACTAAAATCAAGGGTTTATTGAGTATATTTGTGCACGGTAAAAATAGTTTCTTGTATTACAAGACTTGGTCTTAGATGCCATGGCATTCTCCATAAGATCCAAGACACGGTCTTGTAGTACAAGAAACTTTTTTCACCGTGTGGGAGTCGCCCCTACCAAAACGTAACACGAACTCGGTGCCGTATGGTCGGATGGGGTTGGCAATAAACCTTCAATGTAAAATTTGAAGTCCCAATTTCGAAAAGTATAATTTACGTTTGTCAACTCGATGGGTGGAGAATCAGCGCGAATACTTGAACGTTCATTTCATAAGATGGCCAAACTGATCTGTTTCAACGCTAATATTTCAGATGTGCCGAACAGTTTTCCTGGACTGAAATGCTTGTCGTAGAGAGCGTGGCAGCAGCACGGCGTAACTGTATGAATCATGGCCAAACTTCGTCGCCCCCGAGGTGCGGTAAGTCCTTTCGACACCTCGCGAAAAAGAACCTAACTAACGCGAAAGCCCTCTCTCGCTCTCTTTTCCCGACTCCTCGCACCGCTCTCCTCTCCCCGGTGCCGGTAGCCTCTCCTGGGCTGCCGTCGGCCTTTGGCCACCTGTTCCCGAGCTCCTTTGGAAAGCCTTGCCGCGCCCTACCGAGGCTTAGGTCCTCGGGGCAGGATCAGATGCCCCTCGAGAGGGTTCTGGACGTCGAGGGGGGCCACAGCCGGGCAAGCTCCAATCGAGAGCAAGCGCCATGCACCCCCC